TAAATTAGTTAATTAAAAAGGAGGCAAGATAGGATTTATAATCTGATTAAGATTAGCTGAAGGATAAGATAAGTCTTATCCATTCAAGAGTCCAGATCCAAATATCAGATTTGGATTAAGGAACTCTCTCCTAATTGGATTAGGAGGCTGATCCTGAGAAGGCTATAAATAAAGGGGGCGAATTCCTCAGTTATACACAATACAACAACCTGCAGAATTCTCTCCTATTCTTGCCATCCCTACCCAGTTCGATCTCCTCTTGAGGAATTGATCAAGAAAGGTTATTGATATTGATTCTTAGCTGAAGAAAAAATCTGAAGTCGTGCTCACTAGTCCCTGTTCGATTATTGCAGAAGAACCATCCTGCTGATCCTACTTCATTACACACTATGTCATCTTCGGTGGAAGCGGGTTTTGGTATTCTCCTTGGGCGTGAACACCTTCATTGGGAGTTACTGCTACTTTGTATCAGGTATATCCCTCTCCTCCTCTTTTGGTTTCAGATCTGGTCCGGTTTTGGATTCAAGAATGATCCTTGAAAATCAGTTTTCTAAAATAGGGAATGCGATTCTCAGATGGGAGAGAGAGAAAATTTTGAAATTTCGCCTAACCTTCTTGCAAGGTTCGGCCATCCATATGATGGATCTCTCATCCCTTCAATGATGTCTCCCTCTGTTTCATAATGCAGGCCTTTCTTCTGAGATTGCTCAAGAGTATGTTGCATTAATCTTGTCCTAAATCTTCTTTGCTGTTGTAAGAAACATGTAATTGAGTGCTATATGGGGCCTTATCAAGCATACTAACCAAGACATAATTAGAAGGTTATGTCCCCACCAGCCACCAAGCATAGGCAGGGCGATCCATCTAGAGTTTCACCTATCTCCTTGTATGGAATCCAAACTTTCCATGGCTTAGTGCATCGAGACCACTATAGAATATTGGTCTCATTTGAATTCGCTGTTGTTATTTAAACATTGACACTTTCATTGGTTCCCACATTACTACTAGGCCTAGATTTCATATCATCCTAAGCCATCATTCAGAACCAAGTAAAGGTCATCCTTAGACAAAAGGGGTAAACAGTTCAGGTGTTCTCAGCAATCAGCATACCTCTGTCCAATCACCACAACCAACAATCAAACACCATAGTCCCTAATCAGACCATGTGGCACAATAAAAGAAGTATCCCACAGCACTAAGTCTCTCCTTCTAGTGCTGGAAGAAGGTATGGTAGGGGAACATAACATGGCCCTAGGATCTAGGGTTTTTCTATAATGAGGTACAGGTCAGCCTTACAACTGCTGGCATCATCTGTATGGACAATGACATCAGCAGCACCTCAAGGAATATGTCAGCATAATACAGTCTTGAGCACGCCATAATACCAACTAGAAGCTTATTTGACATTTGATGAAGGAGAAAATAATATAGAGAAGGGAAAAGCAAGAATAAGATGGAGAAAGAAAAGAAGAATTACCAAAAATTTACCCCAAGTGACACTTCACCTAATCAACAGGTACTAATTAAGTCACATGCAGTAGTAAAATATATAGTGTCAAATACAAAAATATAACACAGACATTGGTTTCAAAGTAGGAATTAAATCACTGAGCACAAGTATCAATCTAAATTTCTGCAAGATGGAATAACAGGTCAATATAATAACAGCTTACTTCTTGCAAATAGTTAACACATTCAAGGTATCGAATGTTATCAAGGTTGCTGCGGGGACCATCCTCAAAATCAGAACTAGATGACATGGAATGATTGTTTGCAGATTCTTGAGACCATCTAGACCTCTCAGAACGTGGAAATGTAGATGGCATATATAGAACATTAAGGTATGAATCAGCAGATAGAGAATCATCCAGGATTGTAGGTGCACTTCTAGCCAAATGTTCATACCTGAAATAGTGGTTGAAGATACAAAGGTCAAACAGGTATGAAATCAAAGAAAGAACACAGAAAAATAAAGGAAAGAATCAATGGAAAAATAAATTTGTTTTCCAATACAGACACCAATTCTGGAATCTTGGGGTGATAAAAATATTGGTACTCTAAGTTCTTTAAATTTATTGCCTAGTTTTTTTGATGAATATTTATTGCCTAGTTAGTAAATCAAAATCACTATTTATTGTAATCTTGACACATTATTTATAGAAAAATTGTGATTTATTACTTTTAGTAATTTTAGGTTTCTTTGCAATAAGTTAGATTTAGTAGGATTAGAAAAGTGTTAATGACACTACTTTAGGAGTTAGAGTCCTTGTTTAATTGCACCTATGGGTTTATGTAGGTTTAAAAGTGGTTAGTAATTATTATATATCAGCATCCAAGTCCAAATTGGCGTCTATAAGAGGACATCCAAGACCCTATAGCATGTCTATAAATAGTCACTATAATGAGAAAAGTGGAGTTGATTTGATGAAATAAGTTTATTTTGGTGATTGATGATTGCTTCCAGGAAAATTTCTCTTTTTCTTTTTCCTTTCTCACCTATTTCTTCTTGTAAGTACTTCAACTTTTTTTACTTGCTTCTCCATACCTATTATGAGTACCCAAAGAGAGATACTTCCTCTTCATCAATCTATAATGAATTTATATTAGACTGGGTCAGATTGAACCAATATCCGGTCCATTTGACAGAAGATTAGAATATGGGTGTCAACAGACCAGGTTTGGGTTGGGCTCAATCTAAATTAAAACCAATTTGAACAGATTGAATAATTCAGACATTGAATTGGACCAGTCCAGATCCAGAATAGTCCAAAGTATTCATTGGATTGGATTGTACCTGGTCCATTTGTAATGGACTCATATTGGACCGAGTCAGTTGGACCAATATCTGGTACATTGACAGCCCTACATAGGGATAATGATGGTCATGTGGTAGCTATGCTCTCAGGTCCAGTTGGAGTTGGATTGAACTTTACACTGTTATCTAAGGAGTGGAATAGGCAAGGGACATGAGTTTGAACAACTTAATCATCAAAAGGGATTCAAAGGCAATGTTTAAAGTTTTGTCACACATCGGAGTGTATCATATCATACCAGCCCTGCCCAGATATGCAGAACAATAGATTTTTTTTTTTTTTAATTTTAATATAACCAGGGGGTGAGGCCTTGCTAAGACCACCCCCTCTGTAAAATTTTGAAAAAAAAACTAAAAAAATGCAAGGTTGAAAGTATCCATACACCTATTCTGGCATATTGGGGTGTATCGATATTTTGAACCTTGTTCAGAGGTAGTGATTTGATGGTTGAGAAGTAGTAAGAAGGAAAGGTGGCTTTACAAAAATGAGCCGAAGAAGTTTAAATGGCTGACAAGGAATATGCATATACAAATACAATGGGTAGAAAGATCAGCAAATAGTATGGCTGATGCATTGACTAAACAAGGGGTTACTACTTACAACAGACCAAATTGTATTAGTCTATTTTTAATATATGTAAGATGTTACATTGGGAGAGGAATCCCCCTTAAATGTATGCCTTGAAATTGTATATACATTCTCAGTTTCTTAATGAAATTCATTGTTCTTTTATCAAACAAAAAACTAAGATATTGATGAAGTTAATACAGATCATAAATATGCAAGAAAAGAATGATATTGAACATTTAACTTACGATCTTTGTCTTGAAACAAAGAAAAAGTTAGGTTGGATGGGGTAAGATACGGAATCATAGGCCTTGTTTTCCAAAGAAAGACTGCAAGTTCAATTATTTGGTAGAGGACATAGTAATGGTGCGATGTGTACACATTGTGGTATGGATGGACGTATTGTTACATTTTGCTATGATCTACATGGCCCACCTTCAACTTGGGCAAATCATGCAATGGCTAGTGGTGGTATGGGACAAGAGAGTCAACAGGCCAATCAGACACCTCCATCTACAGATGCCTCCGAGCAAGAGATGATGAGTATTTCACGTAATGAATATGAGCGGTTGATCCAGGCTACTTCTCAGCCGAGTACAGCTACACTTGCCCACTCAGGTATGGCTTGTCTGGCATCCAAACCCTCCCATTGGATCATTGATTTTGGAGCTTCCGATCATATGACTGGGACTCCAGGTGTGTTCTCTTCTCTTTCTTCATCCTCTACAACCCACACTCTTTGTCTTCAATTTTGTATGTTCCCAAGTTCCCTTTTAATCTTATCTCTATTAGTAAATTGACCAAGTCTTTTAATTGCTCTATCACCTTTTACCCCTCATCTTGTGTCTTTTAGGATCTCAAGACGGGGATGAAGATTGGTGGAGGACATGAAGCTGGTGGACTATATTATCTTGATGGTGGTGGTGGTTCATCAACAACTCTTTAGTCATCTCTTTCTCCTCTCCAGTGGCACTGCAGACTTGGTCATCCGTCTCTTAAAACTCTTAAGCAACTTGTTCCAGCATTGAGTCGTCTTTCTACTTTGGATTGTGAGTCGTGTCAATATGGAAAACATCATTGGGTTCCCTTTAGTCCTAGAGTCGATAGTCGTATGTCGAGTCCTTTTTCTTTGGTCCATTCGGACATTTGGGGTCTAAATAAAATAGTGTCACACAATGGTTACAAGTACTTTTTATTTTTGTTGATGATTATTCAAGGATGACATGGCTTTATCTTATGAAAGAAAGGAGTGAATTATTTTCTATCTTCCAAAAGTTTCATGCTGAAATTCACACTCAATTTGGTGTCCATATTAAGATCCTACATTCTGATAATGGCCGAGAATATTTTTATATGCCTTTTCAACAATATTTAGAGCAACATGGTATTTTTTATCAATAACAACAACTTTTATTAAGAAAAAGATTATAGAAAAATACAATATGAAGGGAGGGGTAAAAACTCTTAACCCTCCCTAACATTAAAGGTCAGATTACAACATAGCCCAAAAAAGATTTGCTCTTCCCACCCCTTGTTTGGCTAAAGAGTCTGCCAGAGAATTGGCACTCCTCTTGGCCCACTGAACCTGAATTTGCATGTTTTGAGTTATCTGGTTGATTTTCTTCTTTTCATGTAAGAATTTCCACAGACAAGATTCTTCCTTCTACAACCAGCTAACAGTCAGCCTAGAGTCTCCTTCCACCAATAGTTTTCTGATTTTCAACTACTGGGCTCTTTTAATCCCTTCCAGAGCTTCCAAAATTTCAGCTCTCAATGAATCCCCCCAGCCTATAGGTGTTAAGAACATGGCAATGATTTGACCTTCTTCATCCCTAAACACTCCACCTATACCTGAAAGGCCTGGGTTTCCTTCACTGCTGCCATCAAAGTTCAATTTAATGAACCCCGACATTGGAGGAGTCCAATCTGGACTAGGGAAAGTAGTCAAGGGAGCAGGCCAAGCCACTTCTTTCCATTTTCAAATGATGTCTCTTGCTGAATAACCTTCAAATAACTTCATAGACTTGACCCAATAAACCACCCTAACATATATTAATTCAATGATGGCTTCCTTGCTTTTTTCTTTCTCATGAAAAGTTCTTTGACTTCTTTCCTCCCACACTATCCAGCATACAGCTGCTCTGCACACTTGAAGGGAAGGTCCACCTACAACCAAAAAGAGAGAAAAACCCACACTAGATATCTGATACAAAGGGGCAAGAAACTAATAAGTGATAACAGCTCTCACCATTCTTCTTACATAAAATGCACCAGTGCAGGGATAAACACCAATTAGGCCTTTTCTTTTGAAGTAGGTCACAAGTGTTACACTTTTCTAGGATAGCTTCCTAGCAAAAAGCACCTACTCTAGGAGGAATTGGTCTACCCCAAGCTTCCGAGACTGGGAAAGGAGAACCAAGGACCGGATTGGACTGTGATAATTCTTTGAAAAAAGAAGAGCAAGAGAAAATACCCGACGGGACGAGAGACTACACCCTACTGTCCACTCTAGAGGGATCAATAACTACCTCGTCCAGAATCTTAAGCAAGTTAGAGATGGAATCCAATTCAGAATCTCTGAGAGCCCTTCTAAAACCCAGATTCCAATTAAAAGCAAAATTAGACAAGGTAAGAAAGGTGGCTACAGGCTCATTTTTAAACCTTAAGAGAGAAAACAAAGAGGGGAACTACTCTTTTAAAGGAGTATCACCCACCCAAATATGTTCCTAGAATCTCACAGACAAACCAGAACAAAGGTCATACCTGATAAAAGGAAGAAAGGAAGGGAGGATGGCATGAATAGACTTCCAGGGAGAAGCTCTTGTAGTCCTAGATGAAATCCCCATATTCTAACCATCTGCCTCTTGCCCATGAATACTTGGGATTATTTTAGCCCACAAATTCTCCCTTTCTTTATTCAATCTCCATAACCATTTCCCCAAAAGAGCTTCATTCTTCTGTAAGTTACCCAAACCAAGTCCACCATCACTTTTGGCTTTTGTAACCAAGTCCCACCTAACTCTATAGTCTCTTTTCTCCTCCCCTGGTTCCCATAAGAAATCCCTCATTAATTTTTCCAAAATCTTACATACTCCCTCAGGAATTCTAAACACAAACAAAAAGTAAACCGGAAGGTTTGCCGAGGTTGACTTAATCAGAGTTAACCTACCACCCAAAGATAGGTAGCTTTTATTCCAAGAGGATAACCTTTTTGTGAATCTGTCAATCACCGGGTTCCAAAAACTCCTCCTGCTAGGGTTATCCCCTAGTGGAAGCCCTAGATATTTCAATGGCCATTGAGCAGTCTCACAACCCAAAACTTGAGCCCTTTCTTCCACCTCTCTGACAGTCATATTAATGCCAATCACACAACTCTTATCAAAGTTTACTTTGAGGTTAGTCACTTGTTCAAACACATTAATCACCAACTTTAAATTACTAACCCACCTAATCTCATCCCCACCACAAAACAGAATTGTGTCATCCACAAATTGTAAATGAGTGACCGGAACCGTGTCCCTCCCA